TATCCAGTGGTACAGTTTATGTAGGAAGGCAGGAAAAATGTAATTTTTAAATTATGTGTGTGTATGTGTGTATATATATATATATCTTAGCAATAAATCTAAAAAAGGGCATGTCAGTTTCATGAAGAAACGATAAAATTGTATTAAAATAAATAAAAATAGACCTGAATACATACAGTTTTCCATATAATGCTATATATAATGTTCATACTAGTAGATAGGAAGATTTACTATCATAAAGATGACAATTCTCCCTAAATTAGTCCATAAATTCAATGCAATGCCAATTTTTTAAAAATATTTTTTTATTGCCGAAACCGGTTTGGCTCAGTGGATAGAGCGTCGGCCTGCGGACTAAAAGGTCCCAGGTTCGATTCCGGTCAAGGGCATGTACCTGGGTTGCGGGCACATCCCCAGTAGTGGATGTGCAGGAGGCAGCTGATCTTAAAATATATTTTATTGATTTTTCACAGAGAGGAACGGAGAGGGATAGAGAGTCAGAAACATCGATGAGAGAGAAACATCGATCAGCTGCCTCCTGCACATCTCACACTGGGGACTGAGCCTGCAACCTGGGCATGTGCCCTGACTGGGAACCAAACCGTGACCTCCTGGTTCACAGATCGATGCTCAACCACTGAGCCACACAAATTGGCGGGGCTCAATTCCAATTTTTAAAAATGCCCCAATAGGGTGTTTGGTGGAACATGGTAAGTTGATCCCGAAAGTCATAAAGAGGAGTCAAAAATGCCAAGACGATTTTGAAAAGTGGAAGAGTTTGCTCAACAAAATATTAAAATTTACTTTAAAGCTAAATGATATTGCTTAGAGACAGACAGAAGAGTATAGAGAATTGGGGGGGGGTGCACGCACATATGGCAAAAGTGGCATTTAAAACAGTGGGGAAAGAAAGGGCTGTCTCCAGGGACCAGGATGCTCTGTTCCTAAAGGGAGGGCCCCTCACCTGACCTGCTTCAGGGATAACACGGAGGTGGGAGTCCTTTCTGTACCCGCTGTTTCTCAGGGTCCTTCAGCTTAAAATACTCAATACGCCAAGGTGACATAGTTTGGAATAGCATGTTTTGAACCCTGTCAACTGGTAAGTACCACGTTGAAGAAAATGGTTATCTCTGGGGGAGAGAGTGAGGGAAGTGACATTGTATGTGATAGCATGAAGTCTTGAACTGTTTGTTTATTTATTTATTTATTAGTTTGGGGAAAATGTGAATCAAATATGGCGAAATGTTAAGATTTCACAAAGTTAGGTGCTGAGTACATGGGTAATCATGATGCAGTATTTTTTCTATACTCTGCATTCTTAAAATATTTTACAGATTTTTTAATACAGTGAGAAGTTGTAAATGTAATTCAAAATACTGCCTTGGTTATTTCAGTACTTCCTAAATATCAGGTTATTTTATTAGAGAGAGAAAAAAAAATCACCTTGCTGTGGTTCCCATCCCAAAACGGACGGGGTTTCGATTCTAATCAAAATGGTGAGATGACACCGGTGTAGAACCTCAGCTCTTGGTCAATACAAACGCGCCCTCTGCTGGTCCTGTCATGCCCTGTTCAGAATAGCTGTGGGGAGCAGTGGCTGTCCAATGACACAGCTTTTTTTGAGCCAGCCATGCTAACGAAAGACACCCTCACAGAATTCCCGTTATCACGAAAATACTATAATCAGCTGTCATGCTCTGTTAATATTACATGCTATTCAAGACAAAATAAATTCCAAGATTCCACTTCAGTCAACTTCTCAGTGTCCTCAACGACCTTGTGCATTCAGTTTTGTCCCCACTCCAAAGCCTGCAGGTTGGTGTATACGCCGCCCTTAAGGTGTGGGAATGGCAGAAGGAAGCCCAAGTTGGAAAGAGGCTCTGGGGTGGGGGGCACTGGAACAACAATTGAACACGGAAAGATAGATTAACTGTATTATTAAGAGACTGATGCTGGCAGGGTGACTTTTTCTTTTCAAATCTTTCATTAAATTATAATACCTTTAAATAAAATTAAAAGAAATAAATTAATTCGTGCAAGCATCTATTGCTCAAAGAGAATGAGAAAAATACGGGGATTGAATATTAGAGTCCGACCTTCAAAAAGATTTTTAGTTTTAGTTTTGTTTTGTTTGCTGTTAACATCCATCTTCCCCACCAGACCCTGAGGCCAGGGTGTGTGTCCGTCCTACTCACCACTATATTCCCAGCACCTAACACAATGCCAGCAGGTAGTAAATATTTCAAAAGTGACATGTTTGGTTTTAGTCATTTATAGTACATCCATATGATGAAATGCTGTGCTGCTATTAAAGTCATTTTTAAGAATACTTATGATACAGGAAAGTATAATAACATAGAAGTACATTAAAATTATGTATACACTATTTATCAATTCTATTAAAATGTTAGTGTATAATTCGTATATGTACGTGAAAATAAATATGCCAAATTCTCTGCAGCAGCTGTATCAGGGCAGAGTGATTATGGGTGAGGTACTTGTTGTTGTTGTTATTTACCAGGTGCCAGCGCTGTTTTAAGCACTTTATTGTATTAATATATATTTTGTTAGGCTTTTAGCGGCTTTATCCAGGGACGATTAACATACATAAATGGGACCTACTTAAATTGTACAATTAGATAGGTTTTGTTGTGTTCAATATTACGATTTATTTTTTTCCTGCAAAGATCTTTTTTTAAAAAAATATATTTTATTGATTTCTTACAGAAAGGAAGGGAAAGGGATAGTTAGAAACATCGATGAGCGAGAAACATCGATCAGCTGCCTCCTGCACAATTCCTACTGGGGATGTGCCTGCAACCAAGGTACATGCACTTGGCCGGAATCGAACCTGTGACCTTTCGGTCCGCAGACCGACGCTCTATCCACTGAGCCAACCCAGTTAGGGCTCCTGCAAAGTTCTTAATGCACAATGGGGGGAAAGGGAGACATATGTAACACAACAATAAAGATTTTTTTTTAAAGATTTTAATGCAGTCAACTTTGCTTTTTCTTAGATTTTAATTTTGTATAATTACAAAATTGGCTGTCATTGAAACATTAAACATAGCTATGATTTTGAGTTTTCCCATTTTATGAGGATATAGACTTACAACACTGTATTAGTTTAAGGTGAATAACATAATGATTTGATATATGTATAGATTGCAAAGTGATTATCACAATAAGTTTAGTTAGCATACATCAGCTCATATAGTTAACAATTTTTTTCTCGTGAGGAGAACTTTTGAGACTTACTACGTAAGTTTTGATATATGTATACACCCATGAAATCACTCACCACAATCGAGATAAAACATTTATCACTCCCAAACATTTCCTCATGCCCACCCCTTCAGCCACCCTCATCCCCAGACAATCACTGATCTGCTTTCTGTCACTATAGATTCATTTACTTTTCTAGAATTTTATGCAAATGGAATCATACCATATGTACTCTTTTTTGTCTTGTTTCTTCCACCACATAGTTCTTTTGAAATCCATCCATGTTGTTGAGTGTATCACTATTTCATTCCTTCTTACTGCGGAGGAGTATTGCATTGTATATACACACCAGTTTGTTCATCATTCCCCTGTTGATGGACATATGGGCTGTTTCAAGTTTTCAATTATTACAAATGAACTATTACTATGCACATTTGTGTACAGGTCTTTGTATGAACATAGGCTTTCATTTCTGTTGGATAAAATACCTGAAAGTATAATGGGTAGATGACATGATATATATAATATTTAATTTCTTTTTTTAAATATATTTCTTTATTGATTTCAGAGAGGAAGGAAGAGGGAGAGAGAGACAGAAACATCCATAATAAGAGAGAATCATTGATTGGCTGCCTCCTGCATGCCCCCTACTGGGGATCGAGCCCACAACCCGGGCATGTGCCCTTGGCCAGAATCGAACCTGGGACCCTTCAGTCCACAGGCCAACACTCTATCCACTGAGCCAAACCAGCTAGGGTTAATATTTAATTTCTTAAGAAACTGTCAAACTATTTTCCTAAGTGGTTGTATCATTTTACAATCCAGCCAGCAGTGTATGAGAATTCCAGTTCCTCCGTGTCCTTGTCAACTCTTGTGTAGTCGGTCTTTTTCATTTTAGTCATTCTAATAGTTATGTGTGTATGGGGGGGGGGGGGGTTCTTCTTTATGCTTTTTTGTGTTTTCCAAATTTTTGCAATAACCATCATTTAAAAATTGTTTATAGTAACTAAAATAAAAGCTAGCCGATTGTCCAATATCAAGTCTTAATCTAGAGAGTCTTCTCATTTTAAAAGAGCTACACAGTATGGTCTTTGGTGTCCCCAGCGAAGAGTACCAACTGTGTGACCTGCATGAGCCTTCCTCCTACAACAACATTTGTGTGTTTTTTAATCAATTTCCTTTTCAATGTTATCACCACACAAGGTTTTAAGAAAAATATAAGTACACACAAACCTTCCAATCTATTTTTTTCTATTTTCTCCTCCAGACCTTATTCATCTACATACATATTTTACATAATTCTAACATACTGTAGTTTATATTGTCATTGTATAATATCTTCCATACTGCTCATTTATCTTACAACCATAATTTTAAATGTCAAATTACTGCATCATAAATTACTTCCCCAATCTCCCATTGTTGAGCTGTTTTTAATTTTTTACTATTAATAATAAAGTTGTAATAAATAAGTCGGTACAAAAGGCTATTTCCTCCTTTGAATTATTTTCTTATGATAAATACCCAGGAGTGAGATTCCTAATCAAAGACCAGACATTTCTCTGGTTCTTGATGCATACTTTCCCAAAGGGTCTTACTGATTTTAATGTCATGGCCAGCACTGATTTCTGCAGTATTTGCTAATTTCCTAGGTACAACTTCTCTCACTGTTCTAATTTGCATGCTGATGACTGCTTACCAGGTAGACATTTTCCCATGTTTGGGATCACTGACTGTTGTCCTTTGCTGATGAAGGATGCTCTCTGTTTTCACAGACCCAGAGCCCAGGACTGTGACCCCGGACCCTCTCAGTGCTCCCTGGGCTGAAAACATCCAGAGGCCGGAGGCAGACACTGTCCAAAAGGCGTAAGTGTTCAAAGTTGGAATGACGTGGACTTCTCTGCTTTTATTTTGTTTTTAATATATATTTTATGGATTTCGGAGAGGAAGGGAGAGGGAGAGAGAGATAGAAACAACAATGATGAGAGAAAATCATTGATTGGCTGCCTCCTGCACACCCCACACTGGGGATGGAGCCTGCAACCCTGGGCATGTGCCCTGACCTGGAATCAAACCATGACCTCCTGGTTGACACTTAACCACTGACCCTCACTGGCCGGGCTTGTTTATTTTCTTAATTCAGAAAAATACCATCGAAAGAGAGGGAGAGAGAGAGAGAGAGAGAACAAAAAAATTGTTTAATCAGGAGGAAAGGAAAAAAGAATACCAACACTCCACAAAAGTCATTATAGACAGTGTGATTAAAGAGCAGACTTTCAGGCTTGATACAGAGATTCCTGAATGTGGAAGGGAAAAAGCAACACGGTCAGGTTTGCGGTTCTCATTTACAGCATACCTGTTCCTCAGGGAAAATAAATGTTTTCCCAGACCTAAATTCTAAAGGATACCTCTGTGGGTTTTTATAGAGTGACATTGAATGATTTAAAGACTCATATATTTACAGGAAAATTCCATTTACCTCATTGGACAAATATTTCTGAAGTTTCTATAGTAAGGCCCTGTGCTAGCACAGCACAATAAATATAATACTGATGTACCTACAAAAGAAAGTGCCCAGAGCCAGGCCTGGCACACAGTAGCTGTAGCTGCGCTGTTCCTGAAATCCATGTGGCTGTTTCTAATGACCTTTTCACCCAGAGAAAATAAGTCAGTTGTCCACAAGGCACACTGTCGGTGACAACAATTCTATTGGGGCTCAAACTAACACAGCACTTGACCTTTTAGTGACTGAATTTGACCAAGAATAGAATTCCAAGGGCATGAAGGAATGGATGGGTAGTTGCATCTTCTTATGCGATCTTTCTTAAAGGTCACCTTATTTTTCAGCTATGCCTCTGGTAGAAGAAATTTCAGTTACATAATCTGATGTCATTCAATTGAGGATGTAAACATGCAATCCCAAAGAGGCAAACTATTTTCCCTGCTACCTAAGTTTTAGAATTGAGCCTGAGACAATCCCAAAAGGGAAGACCAAACTTTCTCATCTTCCTTATTCAGGCTAAGTGTGTGAAATGCCCACCAAGTGTGTGAAATGGCCAGGTGTGTGAAATGGTTGAGTGTGGGAAATGGCCAGGTGTGTGAAATGGCCAGGTGTGTGAAATGGCCAGGTGTGTGAAATGGTCAAGTGTTTGAAATGCCCACCAAGTGTGAGAAATGGCCAGGTGTGTGAAATGGCCAGGTATGTGAAATGGTGAGTGTGGGAAATGGCCAAGTGTGTGAAATGGCCAGGTGTGTGAAATGGTCAAGTGTTTGAAATGCCCACCAAGTGTGAGAAATGGCCAGGTGTGTGAAATGGTCGAGTGTGTGAAGTGGCCAGGTGTGTGAAATGGTCAAGTGTGGGAAATGCCCACCAAGTGTGAGAAATGGCCAAGTGTATGAAATGCCCACCAAGTGTGAGAAATGGCCAGGTATGTGAAATGACAGAGCACAGGTGCTCAGTCAATGTTCACATTCTCTCTTCCTTGTCTGCCAGAGTTTTCTCTTTAGTTTGGTCCTGTTCGTTTGTTTTTTTCAAAGGGGCAAAGATGATGACATATTCCATCTGCACAGAAGCCTCGCAGAACCTGGGCCTGAGTCCCCAGGGAGGTTGGGTCCTGTCGACACACCTCTTCTTCCAAAGAAAAAAGAAGGGAAGACGAAACCAAGATTGTCCAAGCAGCAAACACCAGCCAGCATCAGTCGTGTGAGTGTAAAGACCTAGGAGCTTGGTCACAAAGCCCCACCTGGTTCATGCTCCCAGCAGGGCTCCCGCCATCGCTGTGTAGATTTCTTACTATATAAAGGCACCTGACAAAGCCAGCGAATTGGAGCTGAAATCCAGTCTTTGGCCTGCTCACCATGTCCTGCCCCTCAGCACTGGGCTGCATCCCCCTGAAGGACAGAGTGCCTGTTTCTAATTCCTACAAAGGTACTAAAAGGAAACTTCCGTTTTCCTACGCCTACACCACCTCTGACACCAAATGTGTGGGGGTTCTCCTCACAACAACCAATTCTCCAGCTCTCGAGGACACCAACTGGGTGTCCTACGCCTCAATTCTGACACTAACTACCCGGAGTTCGTGCAGGCCCAACACACTCAGGGCTCAGTCCCACAGACTGCCCCCACTTCAGATGTCAATCACGAGTCTCAGGTGGTTGCCTATGCTTCTGACCAACAAGCTTTAGCTAGGGGATTCTCACCCTCCCGTCCCAACGGTTTGATAATGTGCTAGAATGGCTCACAAAACTCAGGGAAACCTTTACTTTTGCTATTACTGATTTATTACAAAGCTTATGATAAAGGACACAAGTGAATAGCCAGATGAAGAAATGCATAGGGCAAAGTCCAGAATGGTCCCAACTGCAGGAGCTTCTTTCCCATGGAGTTTGGGGTCTGCCACCCTCCCCGCATGTGGATGTGTCCACAACCCAGCAGCTCTCTGAACTCCTTTGGTTGGAGGCTTCATTACACAGACGTGGTGGATTACATCATTGGCGAAGGGCGATTAACTCAAACTCCAGCCCTTCTCTCCCCTCTGCGGTTGGGGGTGTGGGGCTAAAAGGTCCAACCCTCTAATCACCTGGTTGCTTCTCTTGGCAACCAGTTCCCCCCTCCTTAGGGACTTTCCAAAAGTCTCCTCATTTACATAATCTCAGGTGTTGTTGAAAGGAGCCTGGTATGAATAACAAAACATACTCCCTTTATGCTCCAGAAATTACAGGTTTTAGGAGCTTTGTGCCACGGACTGAGGATGGAAGGCCAAATGTATATTTCTTATTATGTCACCGTATCATAGGTGCTGAGTGGGTAGCTAAGACCCTGCTCTGCCATTCTCTCTTAGAAGGAACCTCCATGTTGCTCCAGCCTACGGGGAAAGTTTAAGGCTTCCTGGAAGTGAGCAAATGATGCAGCAGTGAATAAAGCTGGCTTTGATTTAAACCACTTAGCCAGTAATCGTGGCAACAGCCATCTATCAAAGGTGAAAACTGCTTCACTTTGATCCTGCTCTGTAGACCATGATTTAGCATCAAAAAAAGGGGGCAGATCATAAAATACACTCTATTCCTCTTTTCTCCTGTGAAATTATACCTCGTAGTTGAAAATCAAAGGCCGAACCTTAGGCTCCACACTCTCCAAGACCTGCTCTTCTGCTTCATCTGGAACCCACACGCATTCCATTCAAAGCCATTCCATCTTGTTCAACATAATCTTCCTTTGATTTTCCGCCCCCCTTTCCTACGTGTATCATGGTCCCTGAATCATAGTCCCTTTCCTTACATGTTCACCTTCAGGAGGAGATGGAGTCGATTGACAATGTCAAGAGAAAGAAAAGAACTAAGACAGACAAGTCTAAGGTGCCCAATGGGGAGAGAGAAGGAAAGGTCCACATAGAAACGAAGACTGTTGTTGGTAAGTGAGTGTGCTGGGGGCTGGGAGTTGTCATTGATAATCAGTGTGGATCCTATGGAACCAATTCTGTTTTGAGTCTCCTAGACCACCACGGCTATGACGGTGTTGTCATATCAATATCTCAGTAGACAGGGGCAGAGGAAACTGGCCTTGCCTAGAGACCTGTGATCACTGAGAGAGAGAATGATAATAATATGAGCACCTCTTTTCTGAGTACCCACTGTATTAGGAGCTCTGCATACATGATATCATACCACCCCCACATCTTGATAAAAATATTATATACTATTCTACATTATTCACACATAGAACAACTACTATTATATCATGTTGTGTTGAAGCTGAGAGAGTTTGGGTGACTGGCGTAAGATCAAACAGATCCAACAGTATCATGGTCGACCCAGGGCCTGACCCTGCCATTTGATTCCAAACACATGCCATGACCATGGCCTCATGACCTAATAACTAAATCATCATCTGAAAAGTGGGCAGGGAGAGCATCTGAGAAGGGAAAGGATGCAACCAGCTCGGAGTGATTACCCAGCGACCATTTTTCTTACGAGGAATTCACATTCCTGTGCTTCCAAAGACTTCTGGGTTTTTTTTAGCTTAAAAACTGCTCCTGTTCCTCTCTGGCCACCTGATTCAGAATGCCCTCCAAACAAATCAAAGGGTATAAGAAGGGATGGCATTAAATAGTCTCCTGGGCCAGATTTATTTTCAAGATTTGCTTTTTTAAAGTCTTGGTGAGTCCATGTTGTTGTAGCCCATGGCTTGGATGGCAGTGGCAGGAGTGGAAGAAGGAAATACTTGTGAGCCCCAGAGGTGAACTGAGGAAGAGTCCTTGGAGCCAGGAAGGCTTAAACTTTGCCAGGTTACAAAGCTGCCATCTCAAGCCAGCCTCTGGAGGCGTGACCACCCAGCTGTGTCCACAGGCCTCCCCTCTGGAGGTCTTGCCCCCACCATTGGTCAGGGTGAAACTGAACATTTTTAGTAGCAAGATTGCTGTATTACAGTTGATCCAAGTAGAATAAGGCAGTGTCTCAAAGGGTAGCCTGTGTACTACCCTTCTTAAAACACTTGGCGTGGTTGTTAGAATGCAGATTCCTACCAAATCAGACTCTAGGAGTAGGAATCAGGAATCTGCATCCTATGAGATTCCATTGCACACTGGCGTGAAAAAGTTACTGGAAGCTTGGTTGGTGTGGTTCAGTGGTTGAGCATCGACCTATGAACCAGGAGGCCATGGTTTGATTCTCAGTCAGGGCACATGCCCAGGTTGTGGGCTCCATCCCCAATGGAGCATGCAGGAGGCAGCCAATCAACGATTCTCTCTTATCAATGATGTTTCTATCTCTCGGATGACATGCAAATTTGTGAAGTGTTCCATATTAAATATTAGTTAATATACACTGAGTGGCCAGATTATTATGACCACCCCATCAATACTTCGTTGGGCCACCTTTTGCCTTCAATACTGCGATGATTCTTCTTGGCACTGACTCCACGAGATGTTGAAAGGTGATGCGAGGAATCTGACACCATGCCTGATGAAGAGCACTGTCCAGTTCTGTGAGATTTGATGGTTGTAGAACCAGCTGCCTGATGGCTTTTTAACTTCGTCCCACAAATGCTCAATTGGATTGAGATCTGGTGATTGTGGGGGCCACCTAAGCAAGGTAAAGTCTCCCTCATGTTCTTGAAACCACTCCTGCACAATACGAGCACCGTGGCATGGCGCATTGTCTTGTTGGAAGAAGCCATTTCCAATGGGATACACCATCAACATGATAGGATGAACCTGATCAGCAACGATACTTAGGTATGTTGTGCTATTCAGATGTTTATAATGATCTGGCCCTCTAGAAACGTCAGTGCGAAATTATAGCTAATTTGCCTACAAACATCAGGTGGTCATAATAATCTGGCCACTCAGTGTGTGTGTGTGTATTTGTTTTAAGTTACTGAAAAGGATGCATAGAGATCACGTTTACTTAGCCACACCTCTGTCCCTGACTCTTCTCACCCAGGAAAGTCTAAGGACCCAAAGGCTAAAAAGAAACCAGAGCTAATTCCCAAAGGAAAACAATCAGGTGTCAAAAGGAAAAGGACACAGAAGGAAAGGAGCCGGGATGCAGCAGCGGAGCTGAGGGGGCCTGATGTCTCTGACGCCCAGGGAACAGAAGAAGGCACCCCAGACGGAGGTTTCCCTCCTTCGGGCTTTGATGGAGAGGAGTCGGGGCTTTTCCCCAGAGCGGACGCTCAGGAGAGCCAGGTTTCCATAGACGAAAGATCACCGCCCACCCCGACTGTGACTGTCACAGGAAACACGGACTCGGAAGAAGACAGCAGCCACGGGGATCCTCCGAAGGTAGGACCCAACGTCGCTCTGGCCAGAGGGACTTCTGTCCTCACTGGTGCAACGGAGAGGTGGGGAAACTGCCCACATTCTACTGCCGTTACAGAAACGGCTCGACTGCAGAATGGTTTACTTACTAGGCTTTGGTGCCTACTGACTTTCTGAAGAAGCCAGACCTGGCCAAAATCATAGGGTGGCAAAGGCCCTCTGCAATGATGCATTCTGAGGATCCCCAACTTCCAGGGCATGTACCCCCACCTTAAAGAGCAGGAAGTTGGCACAGAGCCATCTGTAAGGGGTACAGGCCTCACAGTTACAAGGAAAGGTGGGTTCAGGCCATCAGAGCCCAGCACATATTCTTGACTTGGCCTGAAGCTCACACCTTGCTTGCCTCCAAAGGCGATAGATACACCTCCTTTCTAGTATGCTTTTCAGTGGCCCACAGCTGGCCCACAGGCGGCTCCCACACCTGCCTTTACAAGGTACTTTTGCATGTAAGAGCCACTTTGTTCCAGGGGCCTTGATTCCAATGTCAAGTATTTAAGAGAAAAACTGAGTATAAGGAAAATTACCCTTGAAAATCCCTGCAATTAACCAAAAGTAATACCTTCCAGGTACATCTCTCAATAAGACCAAAACAGCCAATTTTTCCTCAGCTATTTCTTCCACTGAGGTGAAAGTGCTGAACTGCATTTAAAAATACTATACCCCCCCAAAACTTTCTTTAAACTCTACAAAAACACCCAGTTGAACCCCTGTGGTTAAACTTGCCTACATTACATGCATATGGTACAACTCTGCTGAATCTCTTCTGATCTTTACAGCCACACTTTTAGGTATGATTAGTTCCACTTTACAGACCTAGAAACTGAGGCTTGAAGGAGCTAAAAGTCTGTTGCCAGGATTATACAACCATTGAGTAGTAGAGCCAAGGCTTAAACCCAGGTCCTTTGACTCCAAAATCAGAACTCTTGTCACTATTTTAAATTATTATGTATTTATTTTATGGCCCATGGTCTTCCAAAAAGGATTTCAGAAAGATGTTTGCTTTATAGGTCTTAGTCCTCCCAGCTGCCTAGGTTACAGAATTCCGCTCTACACAGCAGATGGAAATTTCAAACTGTGTGCAGAACTTTTCTGGGCCTGCTGGAATATCAGAATTTCTTAGATTTTTTTTGTCAACCCGTAGCTCCATGCTGCCTCTGCAAAGGCTAAAAAGCGAGGAAGTTTCACCCCAAGTTGGATACACATGGAAGAGTTAGTTGCCTTTCCAGCTTCCCCTCATGGGCATGTTTCTGACAAAAGGGCAGCAGGGAGAAAAAGAACCTTTCATGGAAAAAGTGGGTTTGTCTGGAATGAAATGTGAGTCTGACCCATCTATACCTAAGACTGTCCCTGGTGAATAGCCTTTATCTAGAATCTGGGGTACTCAGCCCTGGCTTCATCAGAGACGCTCTTTAAAACCCTAAATATGATCATTTCATTGAATTGGGTGGGGCCTTGGTCTCAGGTAATTTTTCAAACCTCCTCAGGTGATTCTATTGTGCAGCTGGGGGTGAGAAGGCTAGACATACAAACATTCTGTGCCAAACATAATGTTGACACTTTCACTATCCAGTTAATCCCAATCATGGCCCCAAGAGAAAGATGGTATCAAAGAAATGAAGCTGTGGTCTCCAAATCTTGAAGCAAGCAAGAGAGAGACTTGCACCCAGGTCAGTCCGGTCCCAGAGCCCACGCTGGTGGCAGCAGTGTATGCACCTGAGGTCAGAGTGTGGACACAACTTAATGACTCCATCTCAGAACGGAGACGACCTCATCTGGGGCAGAGGGGGCTGGCTGCTGAAACAAGCTCCCCGGAGTCCTTCGCACTAAGAACTCTCTGGTTCCTTAGGCGCTCCTGGCCAAGAGGGAGCAGGAGAAAGCTCTCCGGGACAGGCAGCGAGCAGAAAGGGCGGAGATGAGACGGCTGGAGGTAGAGAGGAAGAGAAGGGAGCAGGAGGAGCAGAGGCGGCTCCGGCAGGAGCAGCTGCAGCGGGCAGAGAAGATGGAGGAGGAGCTGGAGCTGGAGCAGCGCCGCCGCGCAGAGGAGATCCGGTGGGTCCAGCCGCAGCCCGAGGCCATGGCCACGTTAGGAAGCAGAAGGAAGAGGCCATGTTAAGGGTTGAAGTTGGTTCTGCAGCTCATGCCCCGAAGTAAAGCAGCGTGTCTCATTTTGCTCTATCCTCAGCTAGGCTAGGAATAACCTGGACCAAAGAAAACGTGCAGCGTGTGTGTTGGTCGTTAGGGGTTACTGCAGGGCCCCGGGGCCTTCCAGGCACGGCTCTGCGATTCAGTCAAGAAAACATTTGTTGAGCTCTGCCCACGTTGTCTGCTTTACACTAGACCTGTTCATGGGCCTTGACTCACTCCGTTCAATCTTCATAGCAGCCCTGTGAGATGGGAGTTTTAAAATCCGTGTTATGCAAGTGGGAAAGGAAGTTCTGGGAACTGAAGGCCCTCGCCCCAGAGCACAGAGCTGTGCTGAAACAGCCAGGCTTCTAGTTCCAGGCCCGTTTTGCTTCCCCTGGGGAAAACCGAGTCTCCTCTGAGGCGGGTGTTCCACGTGGCCTGCAGCGCCTGCGAGGATGCCCGTTTTTCCTGCCATTTCCCTGATCCTCTTGTGTTCTCTCAGCTTGAGGAAACAGAAACAAGAGGAGGAGCGGCAGCGGCAGGAGGAGGGGAGAGAGCAGTGGCTGCAGCGGCAGGCGGCCCAGGAGAGGGCCCGGCAGCAGCAGGAGGCGTCCCAGAGGAGGCTGCAAGCGC